CTCCTTTTCCATGGCCAATCCGAAGGCCTTCATTGGAAGCGTTGTTTACAGAAATCCTTACCAAGATAACATACTGTCCTCCAAAATACCAAGTCTGAGGTGACACTCACTTAGAGCTGTTTGTCTTTGAAGAGCAGTCATCAGGAAGCTGGATTCATAGGTTTTTCCCTGGCTCTTAGATGGACCACCTACTCTTTAGTATCTGGTTCAGGAGTGCAGAGAATTCTTTAGTCATGGATACTAGAGACCTGTGCATCCTAATCCCATTCAGTTCTAGGAAGACTGCCTTTGGGCCATGTTTCTTCCTCCCAGCCTCGGCTGCTCAACTGTAAACCCAAATTACAGTGTCAGCTAGAAGGAGGGTTCCATATAGTCCTGTCAGTATTTGTGGTGGCCTTTGGCTTAAGACGAGAGTCCTCATTTCTAGCCAGTGGGGTCATACTCCAGAGCCATCTCTGAGATTTGTACCACTGGATGATTTAGTATCAGGTCATCACCCACCACCCTTCCAATCACATGCCTCCCACTGGTCAAGGGAAAAGAGACACCAAGACTTGGTTTGAGGGCACTCGCAGACTGACATGGCCAGTATAAAGGAGAACTGGGGAAGGAATGATGTTTTGCACCTTATTGAAAAGAAAAAATTTTAAGTGCATACATAGTTAAGAGCTTTTATTGTGACAGGAGAACTTTTTTCCATATGCGTGCATACTCTCTGTAATTCCAGTGTAAAATATTGTACTTGCACTAGCTTTTTTAAGACAAATATTAAAAAAAAAATGGAAGAATTCATATTCTATTTTCTAATCGTGGTGTGTCTATTTGTAGGATACACTCGAGTCTGTTTATTGAATTTTATGGTCCCTTTCTTTGATGGTGCTTGCAGGTTTTCTAGGTAGAAATTATTTCATTATTATAATAAAACAATGTTTGATTCAAAATTTGAACAAAATTGTTTTAAATAAATTGTCTGTATACCAGTACAAGTTTATTGTTTCAGTATACTCGTACTAATAAAATAACAGTGCCAATTGCAAATGTGTGTCTTTGCCTTGTGTGAGGTCCTCAGCGATGAGGCCAAGAACATAGGAGTGTTGTTGCTCCATTTTACTTATGCCCACTATGGTCACCTGAGTAGGTGTGTGGTGGGGAAAAGACCCAGAGCATTACTCTACCAAATTTTTTTTTTTGGAGGAAGAAAGTCATGCGTAAGATGAGGTTCTGAGATTTAAAAAAAAAAAAAAAAAAAAAACCTGTTGCTTTGGAGTCCATTCCAACTCACAGTGACCCTGTATGACCTGGTAGAACTGCTCCACAGGGTAATCTACAAAAGCAGACTGCCACAGCTTTTTCCTGCTGGGCGGCTGGTGGATTCGAACCATAGCAGCCAAGTACTTAACCAAAGCACCACTGGGGCTCTTTGGTTCTGTGATAAAAGGCACATTTCTACACCCAGAGTCTTGACTTGTTCAGTTCATGTTGATTTCTCCTGTCTAACACTGCTGTTTACAAGCATTTGGCAGCTTCAGGGGCTCCTGATTTTAAAAGTAAGTAGCCCTCCCACACATGCACCCTGCACACACGCCAAATCAAATCCTTGCATCTTATGCAGTAGTAGAAGAGAACTCTTGGCCAAAGTCCAGTTTCATTTAGCCCAACAAGGAATGGGTGTCTCCTTTCCTTTCAGTACCTTCTTAGGTATTTTGGGGACATCCAACCAGGGCTCTTCCTTTACAACCTAAGAGTTGGGAAGTCCTGACATACTCTGAATATTTGTGTGTGAAAGAGTGAGCATTAAGCCTGTGGCGATTAGGTGAACCCTGACCCCTACAGAACAGACTAAAAGGGCTGTCTGAAGCCCTCCTCCTCCACAGTGGTGTGAGCACAGCAAGCACCAGTGGTGCGGACCAGTCTGTGTCTGCCTGCCCTGCTGTTTTTTGAGCTCTTAATGGGTCTGACAGGTCTTGGGTCCAATGTCTGTACAAAGAGCAAGTCTGCATGATCCTTATAGGAGCTAGACAGAACCGGACATGTGTCTGCTGGCACTGGCAGCCCTCAGTGTGGCCACCACAGAATGACAGGGTGTTGACCTCCCTGATCACCCAGGATTAGCATAGGAACCTAGCCTTAGCAAGCAAGAGGGACACTAATGTCCCCAGGGTAACAGTACAAATGTGGAGAAGGACATGGTCCTGAAAGAAGTTCTCTTACTACTTACTACTGACTAATCTGTTCTTCAATTATTTATTACATATATATATATATATGTATATGTATATATATATATATTTTTTTTTTTTTTTTAAACACTTCGTTTTCTTCATCTCTCTCCCTTACTTAGCAGTAACAAACAAACACAACAGCTGGTCACTGAGTGGAGTCTAACTCATGGTGACCCCATGTGTGTCAAGAGTAGACTGTGCTCCACAGGGTTTTCAATGGCTACTTTTTCAACAGATCACCAGCCCTTTCCTCTGAGGCACCTCTGGATGGACTCGAGCTTCAAGACTTTTCAGTTAGCAGCTAAGTGTATTAATTAAATGAACTCCTTTTATGGGCGTGACTATAAAGCAAGTCTTCCACAAGAGAGTGTGAGTGGCTCACCTCCACACAGACAGAGACACACATACAAAAGGCAGGGGGCCTCCAGCAAGCCCTGCATCTTGCTCTACATGCAACATCCTCCTGAACCTCCTGTCTTAATAGTGCAGCCTTTCATATTTCTTAAGGATTTGGGGGTGGGAAGGGGAGCCACAGGGTTAAAGTCACTGGCTCTAAGTGCATCATGATAGTACTGACAATGGACCTATATATTCCCAGAGTGGAAGGGTTTGGTTAGATTTCTCCACGGCCAGGCACAACTGTAGTTCTTTAATGAGATACTGTGGACAAACATAAATCAGGCCATGAGGTCAGCATTCTACAGAACTATGTGGTCCTGCCTCAAAAGTCCAAGGGGCTTCTCTACTCAACTTGCCTTTTCAAAGAAACTTTGTTGCTTTGTCTACTTCTTTAGTGGGCATTGGTGGGTCACTGGCAAGAATTCTCACCTTCCATGCCTGGAGATCCAGGTTTGATTCCCAGCTGATGTACCTCATGCACCCCACCACCACCCCATCAGTGGAGGCTTGCATGTTGCTGTAATGCTGCCTAGTTTCCAGCACAGCTTCCAGACTAAGATGGACTGAGAGGAAAGGCCTGGTGATCTATGTCGGACAAAAATTAGCCAGGGAAAACCCTATGGATCACAAGGATCCACAACCAACCACTGGGAGGCACAGGATTGGGCAGAGTTTTGTTCCCGTGTGCATGGAGTCACTGTGAGTCAAGGGCTGACTTGACAGGACCCAACATCTGCTTTATTAGCCTTGATAAAGACTGAAGAAAGTAAAACATCTGAATCTGCAGAAGCTTTCTAGTCCTATTACTCAAGGAGTACTTCTAAATCAGGAGCAAGCTGTCATTAATTCATCCAGCCTTGAGGGTTTTAACTGGTATCAGAGGGACTAAGGCAGGATCCCCTTAAAGGCCAGAGGCACTTTCTCCAAGAAAATGTCATTGCAATTAGCAAATTAATTGACTGTTGTGCAGTAGTACTGTGTGGTCCTTCCATAAAAGTAATAATCACCAGGATGAGGAATTGTTCTAACTAGTACTTTAAACTAACATCCCTTAGGATGCCACTGGTCAGGGCTTTGGATAGTTTCCAGTGGGAGTCTTACCTGTTAATTTTTTAGTAGGTAACCATCTAATAAAACATTCCAGGGAGTTCCCAAATAATTTACAACCTCCTTTAGAGAAACCAAAGGAGCTCTGGTGGTAGATCGGTTAAAGCATTCAGCTGCTAACCAAAAAGTCAGTGGTTTGAACCCACCAGCCACTCTGCGGGAGAAGGACAGTCTGCTTCCATAAAGATGTACAGCCTTGGTAAGTCTATAGGGTAGTTCTACTCTGTCCTGTAAGGGTTGGTATGAGTTGGAATTGACTTGATAGTAGTGGGTTTGCTTTTGCTTTTAAGAGAAACTAGCCTGGCAAAGTGGGGCTGAGAAGGGAAAGAAGCTAGATGGAAACAAAACTAAACAAGGAACCAGAGGCAGCTTCCTAGAAGCAGCTAGTCCACAAGACTGGTAGAGACAGAAAATGGGTTCCCAAAAGGCCTGTGTAATGAAGATAGTGAAAGAGGTGTGGCCACAACCTGGAAAGCATCAGCTGGGAAACCAGTTCATGTTCTTCTGTCTAGTCAATTCCTTTTGTTCTTTTCCAGAAACCCAAAGCTGGAGGGCAGGATGCCAGCTACTCTGAGTCTGGCCTGATTTCCCTGAGGCCTCCCTTCCCCTCCCTAGTTGCCTTGACTACTAATAGCCAACAGTAGTCTGCCACTATTTTTCCACCTGAGAAATCGAAAACCAAACTGAAGCAGTTTTGTCAAGTCCATTCCGACTCATGGCAACCCCATGTGTTTCAGAGTAGAGCTCCACTCCAAGGCATTTTCAATAGCTGTGATCTTTCGGAAATAGATCACCAGCCCTTTCTTCTGAGGCACCTCTGGCTGGACCTGAACTCCCAACCTTTCAGTTTGTGAGCTGAGTGCTCTATCCTGTCTGGGAAGGAACCAGACAACCCCCAATAATGCCTTACAACTTGATCCCTGCAAACGGAAACTCAAGCACTCAATTCTTAAGATACTACAGCGTTATGTTAAAGTGAAACCATTTTCTTAAAAAAAAAGAAAAAGGTGCAAATGTTAATTTTCACAATGAGGTTGAGTTCTGGGCACCTGGGCTCTGACCACTGACCCAATCAGCACCCTGCGTCCAGACCCCAACAAGGCACTAGGGAGAGTCCCAAGGCCTCCAGGTGGCAGGAGCGGGGAAACAGGAGGCAGCATTCCATCACTCAGGAGCAGCAGGAGCTCTTACATGACAGACTAGGAGGGAGATGGGGTAAGCAGGTGCTTGTGGAAGCTTCCACACGAGCTGCGTGGCACTTCATCCTCAAGGTTAGCTGAACACCGTGTTGTGCTGCTGGGTCACGCGGATGAACGTTGCCCTCCTACTGAGCTCTTTGAGTTTGGTGGCTCCCACGTATGTGCAGGTCGACCTCAGTCCCCCAAGAATATCCAGAATTGTGTGTTCAACATCCCCTTTGTAAGGCACTTCCACAGTCTTGCCTTCAGAGGCTCTGAAAGAAAAGGGAATTTGGAGTTTTCCTTTTTATCTCATCTTTTTTTTTTCCTTAGGAAGCCAGCTACAATTATTCCCAGCTTTAGCCCTTTTAACAGCCCCACTCAGGTAGCTAAAGTCCTAGCTACCTCACCCTCTGACCCCGTTCCCATATTTCTACCAAGTGGCAGGCTGTGGTCATGCCATTATCTCAGGTACACTCATGCTTTCCACCCAAAGAATTCAGCCTCACTGCTGGCTACACAGGACCCTTGGGAAAGGAAAGACTTAGAGAGCCACACTTGATGATGTTGTAGACCCAGAGCCCTGTAGTGAGTGACACTCTTCTCTTAGGTCATGTACCTCCACTATACCCCTAACAGAAACCAACTCCATCTTTCTATTCTATCTTAATTTGTACACCTTACCTCCAACAGGGAGTCCCTAAGGGGTGCAAATGGTTAAGATGTTCAGCTGCTAACCAAAAGGCTGGAATTTGGGATCACCCAGAGGTACCTCAGAAGAAAGGCCTGGTGATCTATTTCCAAAAATCAGCCAATGTAAACCCTATGAAGCACAGTTCTACTCTGAGACCCACATGGGGTTGCTGTGAGTCCACGGCAACTGGTAGGTTGGTTATCTCCAATGGGCCAAGAACCAATGGGAAGAAGAGACCAGGCCAATTACCTCTAGAATGGTGCCCCTCCCTTCTACTGCCTCCTCCTCATACGCTCCCAGAGCAACAACACATAAGAGCCCAGAGGTTCACCCTGTCACATGCCAGCCCTACACTGAGAAACAAAGTTTTTCTCAAGGTGACAGTCAGAAGGATATGAAAATGGACAAGCCAAGCTCAGCTTAGTTTTGTGGAAACCTCCACCAGCACCATACAGTGGCTCCGCTCTATCAGCCAGCCTGTCTATCAGAGATGCCCTCTGTTGGGTACATTCACCCCCAGTGTCACTGCATATATCACTGCACCTATCGCCCTGGGCATGTTAAGGGATCCAACCCTGGTGGAAACAAAGTAGAAGAACTAAGGGCTTTCTTACCACCTATGGCTTCACACAGGTTTTGAATAGCACCTTTCACATTTTCAGCAAACCAGCCCAGGTGTTATGTTGATTCTGACTCTTGGGCACCCCATGTGTGTCAGAGTAGAACTGTGTCCCACAGGGCTTTTAATGGCTGATTTTTCAGAAGGAGATCTCCAGGCCTTTCTTCCCAGGCACCTCTGGCTAGAGTCACACCTCCAGTGTTTCGGTTAGCACCCAGGTGCATTAACCATTTGTACTAACCTGCAGTGTTTGGAAATTCAGAAGGCCTGGCAAATGGCAGAATGTAGAAGAAACTACATCAGATCCTCCTCACTGAAGATGTCCCACTTTCTATAAGGCCATTAAACAGCAAGTTCCCCTGGCTGCAAAATGCAGATATAGCCTAGACTTGATCTGGTAGGGGCATTACAAAGAGGAAAGCAGAAAACTGCAAAACCTTAGCCCTCATCTAAGGACCAGGCAGTCTGAACATTCTAACAGTTACCCAAATTCTGGGACTTTTTCTGTCTACTCTCTTCAACTGGAAAACCAGCATCTCTTTTTTTTTTTTTTTTTAATTGTGATTTGGGTGAAGATTTACAGAGCAAATTCACTTTCCATACAGCAGTTTACATATACTTTGTCTCATGACATTGACCACAGTTCACCACAATGCAACAGCTCCCCTCCCACTTCCTCCCCATAGTTACCTCCATGGACTCCTGCCCCCTGAGCTGTCTCCCTGTGCATAAGCAGCCCTTCTTTCTCCGTGATTGCTCCCTCCAAGGAGTGTATCTACTTGAGGTAAATGTTCGACTCATATGCCTGTCTTTTGTTTGGCTGAAAACCACAGGCGTGGGTTTAATTCCAGACCTGAAGGGCATTTAGGGGCCATAGTCTCAGTGGTTCCACCAGGCTCTATGGGACCAGCAAACCTGGTCCCCACCCCTTTTTTTTTCCTCCAAGTGATTCCGAGTTTTGTTCCACATTGTTCTCCCCCTCTATCAAGGATCTCCTACACAGATCCCCTTTCAAGTGGACAACAGCGGTAGCCGGGCACCATCTAGTTCTTCTGGTCTCATAGTCGTATAGGCTGCAGATCAGATGAAAACTAGCATCTCTTGATCAGAAACTCATTACGTAGAATTCCAAAAGGGCACTAACTATTGTTCACTAAAATTTACACACATAAGCCTACCCTTAAGGAGCTCCAGTGGTGTAGTGGTTAAGGCATTTGGCTGCTAACTCAAACGTTGGTGGTTCAAACCCACCAGCTGTTCCACAGAAGAAAGATGAGGCAGTCTGCTTCTGTAAAGATTTACAGCCTTGGTAACTCAGTGGGGAATGGTATGAGTCAGAACGGACTTGATGGCAGTGAGTTTGGTTTGGTTTTAAGCCTACCCTTGGGTGGAAATCTAGTTACTTAAACCATCAGCCAGTTGAAGGGCTGGCCTACTGGCTGGTTCACAGCCACATGAGAATGAAACCAAGGTCACTAGCTACACCCAGGGTGGTTCGGGTCACTGCACTGTGTGACCAGAGACTGACATTCATTCACAGGCACCTGAAATGACTGCCATTTTATTTTCTCAAGAGATTTCCACAGGCTTCCCAGAGCCTGCTGGCAATTAGCCAGATTCTCGCAATAGCTTGTCTACTAACTGGCTACAATATCTTTTACAGTCATCTACTGTTGATGCTTACATCATCTCATCTGTAAAAGGAAGGTACTCGGACCTGCCTTGCAGGGACAACATGAGAACTAAACGGTTAATGATTGGGCAGGAATTATCAAAGCATAAGTAACTCTGTCATAATGAAACATAATGTCAAAGTCAAAACCTTCTCCTGAAGAGATCATTGTAATGAGACAGAAAACTGCTAGAGAGGGACAGAGAACAAGAGAGGCAAGTCTGCAGGCTTTGGGCTGCCTCTGGATCACATTTTAATTCCTTCCTTGTCTAAGATTTGAATCACCTTCCAGAATGGAATCCTGATACTCCTGAATCTTTTATTGTCTGTTATGTGTAAACCCTGGTGAAATTACAGCTGACTTTTTCATCTTCTTGGCTTTTGCTGGTGTGTGCTATAGCCCGGCCTGGCCTTCCCCATCTCTAATTTGTCTTAGAACCCAAAACAGATAAAACAGATGCAACAGCTAGAGGACAAAAAAAAAAAAAAAACCTATTCCAGGCACAGCACCTAGTTATCACTTGACCACGTGGCTCTACTTATGTAACAGCACATGGGGGACATTGCTCAGGCTCTCACATGGTGACAACTGCTCCTAGTAAAGCATGAAGCTTCTTGGCCACAGGCCCAGCTAGCCACTGAGGCAGTCCCTCCCTATACCCACCCCTCCAAGTGACTGACAGAGAGGCAATGTCCACTTTGAGTTACCACATGAGAGAAAGACAGCCTCCTAAGGCTCTCTGGGAAGGAGCTGTCTGTCTTGTTCCTAAGTGTCTGAAACTTTCAGAATGAAGGTCTAGATGATCCCACATCCCTCTTTCCCACCCTGCCTCCTTCCATACTGTGACTGGAGAAGATGAGAATTGAAATCAGTCCACCAGAACCCCAGAACACTGCTCTTTCTTCTGAGGCCAGTAAAGGACAGACCCTGGTAAAGCACCCTACACAACCCCCACCCCAGAAATCTCAGTAGGGGACTGAGATTTTTACTGCTACCTTATCAAATGCACAAGTCCCATGTGCTCAAAAGGAGCTTTGGAGAGCAAATGGCAGTAGGAAATGGAGGACGTCGGCCAGGGAGGACTTGGGTTTCCCTTCCATTGCTACAGCAGAGCTTACATATGAGTGACAAGCCTGAGGTGTCTATTTACAGCTAACTTCCTTCTGAAGCTACAAAACCTTCTGTTCTGTACACTTTGTATCACAGGGCATTTGTGCTAACCCCAATGAGGAGCAACAGCATTGGTTATGGAACAAGACAAGGGAGTGAAGACAATCTGTTATAGGGTTTTTACAACATGTAAGCAGACAATTCAAATGGGAGGGTGACAGAAAAGGTCAGGTTCTCTTTCAAGATTGTGGATTTGAAAATAAAAAAGACTAGCCGAAGTAAACACCCTTTCTACAGTAAGTGACACAACTAAACAGTTGAAAAAGCTGCCTGTGGTACTGTCTTTAAAAAAAAAGAAATTGGGCAACCATGTAGCGGTGCAGACTACACCCATTTCATGTGTAACAGGAACTGCTACATTCTCCAACCAAATTCTTACAGCCTGAGGTTGCCTCAGGCCAGGCATCATGGTTACAGGGAAAGCTCAGCAAAGGCTGTAAGAAGGACAAAGCAGCATCCTCACCCACTCCTTGGACATCTGGAGTATCTCCTCCAAGGACTGGTTGAGTAGGAATCATACCTGCCCACACAGACCTCCCAACATCCAGTCAAACTTCTAACCTATCCCTAACACCTTTGCTCTGTACTTTCTGAGGCCCCCAACACTCTAAATGCTAGCTAGACAGAAATGAAAATCAGTTCCCATCAAGCCGATTCTGATTCATGGCGATCCCATGTGTATCAAAGAACTGTGCTCAATAGGGTTTTCAACGGCTGAGTTTCCAGAAGTAGATCAGTAGGCCTTCCTTATAAGGTGCCTCTGGGCAGACTGGAACCAACCTTTCAGCTAGCAGCTGAATGCATTAACCATTTATACTACACATGGACTGGATAAAAGTTTGAGCCATTTAAAAAGAAGCAAAATACATTTTCTAGCTCCTTCCCACACTATGTTAATATAAACAGAATTGGTCCTCTTTAAGACCTGTGTCCATCCCATTTCTATAAATGTGCGGCCTTCCCAGGGAAAACCTTAGTGCCTCCCCTCACCTGTATTCAGCAACTCCTCCTGCATGTTTCTTCATTGCCGTGTCAGAGCTCATCCCATAGAAGAGCTTCAGCTTCTGGCCGTTCCTCTCGATCACCTCTCCAGCACACTCAGTATGGCCTGAAAACATCCCTCCCAGCATGACAAAATCAGCGCCAGCTCCTACACGCCAAGAGTGGAGACAAAAGGAAGCAGGGGCTCAGAGAAACCATCTCTGGAAAGAGAAGAGTGCTTCACCAACTCACCTCCCCCTCCACCGATGGTCAAGAGAAAGCCTCAACCTCTCCTTTTCTGTAAAAAGCGTAAAGGCCACCCACACAGGGAGATGGGTACCAGAAACATACACAGAGAACAAAAATGGAACTTACTGGGGGTTGTGACTATCATATCAAATAAACAAAAACCTTCACTGCCATTGACCACCACTGAGTTTCCAAGGCTATAAATCTTTACAGAAGCAGACTGCCTCATCTTTCTTCTGTTGAGTTGCTGGTGGGTTTGAACCACCAACCTTTTGGTTAGCAGCCAAATGCCTTAACCAGTATACCACCAGAGCTCCTTGGTGACTACTATAGCGGGAAAAAAAAAAAGTTACCGTCAAGTCCACTCATGGCAACCCCATATGGGTCAGGGTAAATTGTGTTCCATAGGGTTTTCACAATGACTGACTTTTGGGAAGTAGATCACTAGGCCTTTCTTACAAGGCACCCCTGGGTGAACTTGAACCCTCAACCTTTTTGTTAGCAGCTGAGCACATTAACCACCTGCATCACCCAAGGACTTCAGCTAATATATTAGACAATCTTAAAAAAAAAAAAAAAAAAAAAACCTCACTGCCATCGAGTCAATTCCAACTCACAGCAATCCGCTTCAGGTTTTCGAGGTGGTAAATCGTTACAGAAATAGATTGCCTAGTCTTCCTTCTGCTGAGCGGCTGGTAGGTTTGAACCGCCAGCCTTCTGGTTAGCAGTCAAGTGCCTTAGGCAGTACACTACCAGAGCTCCTCCAGAGCTCCTTAGTGATTATTAATGACTAATGAGGACCACCTTCCAAATGGAGGTCTAACTCAGTTAGAATAAGAGAAACATTAAGAACTGGGCAGCATGGTAGAAAACAAGCCATCCAACCTCCTACTCAATACAATAACTTTTCTCCAGTATCTCCATCAGGCATCCAGTCTCTACCTTAAGCTCTCAGCACTCTGAACTTTCTATTAATACAAATCAAGGAAGGCCCTCAGAACAGAGCAAACCTGCAACAGAGATTGAGCATGGAGGAGAGAAGCCCCTATAATATGTAAGCTTTTTAAAACTTTGCCTGTACTGCAATTGTGATAGATCAATACTTATCACCGAATGATATGAGATTTCCAGGCTAGGTACAGCTGAGACTGGGTTATTAGCATTGCCTTTGTAGGCTACATTGGACCAGGACTGGGGCCTATTAGGTGCTGAACACCTAGTTGTCAAGGAAGGGAAAAGGTTACATGGAAAATATAAAGATGAATTCCATTCCCCTCCTTAAGTATGAACAATTCTGCAGACAAACTCGTCATTAAATATTATATCTATATTATATACATTATATATCATATTATATCTGTTATCCCTTCTCCTACTGATAAGTCCACTGGGTCAAATCTGCTGCAAAAGACCTCTTTAAAGTGCTGAGGAGCAAAGTCTTTGAAGACTAAGGTGCACCTAACCCAAGCCACAGTGCTTTCAATTGCCTCATATACATGTGAGAGCTGGACAATGAATAAAGGAAGACCTCAGAAGAGTTGATGCTTTTGAGTCGTGCTGTTGGTGAAGAATATTGACAGTACCATGAACTGCCAGAAGAACTTACAAATCTATCCTGGAAGAAATGCAACCGGAATGCTCCTTGGAAGCAAGAATGATCAGCCTTCATCTCACCTACTTTGGTCATGTGGTCAGAAGGGACCATTCCCTGGAGAAGGGTATCATGCTTGGTAAAGTGGAGGGTCAGTGAAAAAGGGGAAGGTCCTCAATGAGATGGATTGCCTCAATGGCTGCAATGATGGGCTCAGGCATAGCAAGGATTGTGAGGCTGGTATAGAACCAGGCAGTGTTTCTTTCTGTTGTACACAGTATCACTATGAGTCAGAGCCAACCTGATGGCACCTGACAACAACAACAACTAAGGAATCCTACTGAGGGTGTGTATTTAGAATAGAACAAGAGGACACCAAGCCACAGATGTACATTAGGAAATGTGGATAGAGGAGAAAGGGAGCCTATGGAAATTTGGACAAGGAGAGAAAATGTGGCAGCCCTTGAGAAGCAGCCTTGATGTTTTCCATCTGGTCATTCAGACACTACAAGAGGACTTCTGGGATTTGCACTGGGAGTTCAGCATGACTGCAAGGAACACTTGGCAGGGGCTGCCCCCTGGCCTGACCTCCACATGGGCAAGGCACAAGAGGGCTTTTTTACTTTGAAGCAAGTTTTACAGACCGCTCCTTTCAGGGTTCCTAACACAAATGCTGGCTCCTTGGCCCTCCTGCCACCTTCCACGACTTTAAGGGGACAGAGGGTAAGTGGTGTTCGCCAAGCCTCCTGATGACCGCAGGCCCAGGAACAGAGCACCTATGTGGCAGAACAGATACAGAAGGCGACCAGCAGGAACACAGAGCACAGATCCATTTAAGGAATGCTTTGCAGTGTTTTCCAATTTTGCATGTTTCTGAATACCCTCCTACCTTTCTCTAAGCAGTGGTTTCCCTGGTACAGTCTTTCTCCTGCATTAAAGCGTCCAGCATGGACACTGCTGCACTTAATGGAAGGAGAGTGGAGGAGAGAAAGAGAAGCCAGAGGGAACATGAGCTGAGCCTTGGGTCTGAGCCCAAGTCCCACACCCAGGAACCATGCCCAGATCTATTCTCTACAAGGCACCTCCTTGATGAACAGTCACTTTAAAGAGTGTTGGGTGCCCACCCTTGGTAGAACCAACTGTGACATACCAAAAGGGAGTCCGAGATGGAACATCCATTGATATTAATAGTTAGATGTCACAAATTAATAGTTAAATGTCCTTGGCTGATGATCCTCATAATAAAGAATGAATGAGCATAGGAGTCCCAGGTTCTCCTGCTCTGCCTGTGTGACCCTGACCTTATCACTCACCTCTCTGGGCCGCAGTCACCTCAACTATAAAATGGGCAAGCTGAACCACATAGATGACCTGTATGTTTCCTTCTATAGCCAAGATAGATGATTAGAATGGGATTAAATAATATGTCCATTGTTACAACATTCTCCAGAGATGCTATGGAACCCTGCTAATAACACGTCCCATGGGATTTTTTGGGTGTCACTTTAAAAAAAAAAAAAAAAATCAGAATTCCTAAGACAGAAAGTTATCCTCCCAAAGAAAGGGATGAGAAGAGGGTAAAAGAGAAAAAAGAGAGATACACGGAAGGAAAAATTGGCAGCAAATTTGGCTCTGGAAGCAGGATAGGAGAGTGGGAACTTGCCAGCTTTGTTTCTCACGCCTGCTGTCATTCATAGCTCCCTCCCACTTAACGGTTTGGAGCTCCCAATAGTGCTGTGAGCTCTGACTTATGTACGTAGTTTGCAGAGGTTACCTCGCTGCTACAGGATTTGGTAAGCCCTATTTCACTGTCTGTTAATTGAGATCTTGGACTTGCAGGTGCTTTCCCAAGAAAACCCCAGGAAACTCGCCTGGGACCACAGGAAGCCAGCGTCACTGAACCACAGAGCCGCAGGACACTGCTGCCCCCTGGTGGGAATCAGGTTCCTCTTCCTCGGGTGAGGAAACTGTTGGAATTCCAGTTTCGCTTTCGGGATTTCCTAGAGTTGAGTCAAAAGACTCTCCCTGCAGTTACTACCAGCCAGAACCAGCACTATCCTCTTGAAAGGTCTCCTGAGCCTTCTTACTCCCGGCTTGAAAAGGATGTGACTTAAGCCGCTCCCTCCGGGCATAAAGGATGTCACCTCTAGCCATCTCCTGGGCACTCAGCCTGCTCTGCCGCCATCCGGAACCAAACAGATGCCAGGAATCCGGGCAACTGGGGCTGAAATCATCGCATCAGAAACCCAGGAAGAGAAAACTCCTGACTGCTCTACACAATAGGGAGCTCTGGTAGCATAGTGCCTAAGGCACTTGACTGCTACCAGAAGGCTGGCGATTCAGACCCACCAGCCACTCCTGGAAAGGAAGGTTGGGCAATCTACTTCCGTAGTGATAACGCCTCAGAAACCCAAGGAGGTGTCACTATGAGTCAAGTAAGGCACATAACAACAACAGCTCTACACAATTGCTCCATTCAGTCTCCGCCCCCTCGTCCAGGTCCAGTCCCCTAGACCCTGACCTCACCACCACCAACAACAACAACCCCCCCGCCCCCCCCCAGGTCTCGGCCCCGCCCCTCGGGTCCACCCGCCCTCAGCACAAACGCAAGGAGGCCTTGCTCCCCACAAGGGCCTTACCAAAGGCTTTGGCGACATCTCCTGGACACGTGCATCCTCCGTCCTTCAAACAGGAAAAGCAAAGAAAGTAAGTCAGCCGGCTCTCTCATCAGGGCAGTCTCGTATCCCACACCCCCACCCGCCAGGATTCGGGTGACTGAGAGTTTCTATCTACTCAGGCCGGCGGAGTTCCTCTTAAAACCTTACCCAACGTTCCCGAGGTGCTCTTGTTTCCGGACCTTGTTTACTCTCGGTAATACTGCACTTCCCATTCCCATGCCCTGTAGTCATTAGATAGGGGTAAGTGGCTTGAAGAGGTCGACTCAGACACTGTTCCTGTGGTCACCTGCCAACGCAGGTCTTTAAGTCTGGCACCGCCCACTGCCTGCCTGAAGCGTCTGTTCCCGAGAGGCTCTGACCTAATCCTCCACCAGTTACATAATCCATAACCAGCCTGGCCAGCCACACCATCTACATCCACTCCACATGCGTCAAGCAGAGGGCACATTTTGCAGCTGCTCATTCAGTAGTCACCTTTACCTCCCTGCTTGTATGTGGTGAGATTTATTTAGGACAAGAGGTGAATTATTTTAAGAGCTCGAAAAGGACGTAGAGTTAATTCATTTGTATTTCCAGCCATCCCTTGTGTCTTCCATTGACCTTCCTTGACGCTACTCATTTACCTTAAAATCACACATCCCTTCTGGACACCCACTCTCCCCATACAGAGAGCAGATCTTGGGGTAGTTTAATCTTTAGGAGAGGAGTTTGTTACTAAGGGGCTGCCCAGCAGTGTTTAGCTGTGTGCTATGTTTAAACACAAGTAACAGAATGCATGGCTTCTAAATGCCAGCTCTCTGACTCTCCTTACAAACCCATCCTTTGCCCTCAAGTGGATTACTCATGGGGACCCTATGAGACAGAGCAGAGTTGCCCCATAAGGTTTCCAAGGCTGTAAATCTTTACAGAAGCAGACTGCCACATCCTTCTCCCACAGAGCCACTGGGTAGGTTCGAACAGCTGACCTATTGGTTAGCAGCCAAGTGTTTAACCACTACATCAGCAGAGCTCCCTTTATAAACATAAAAGGCACAAAACCACCAGGATGCTGCTAGTCCCAGTTTGGCCTGTGTGAAGCCCAAAGAAGAAAGGGCAGTGGCATCACCAGGGGTGGTGTCACCCAGTGGAGTAATTCATGGTGTCACCTCCCCCATGGATCTCCTCCCACATCAGACCATATAGAATCCTTGTTGCTGTTATTATGTGCCATCAAGTCAGACCCGACTCATAGCAACCCCTCCTTGGGTTTCCGAGGCAGTATCACTATGGAAGTAGACTGCCCAACCTTCCTTTCAAGGAGTGGCTGGTGGGTCTGAACTGCCAGCCTTCTGGTTAGCAGTCAAGTGCCTTAGGCACTACGCTACCAGAGCTCCCATAGAATCCTTAGTAATGTTTATTATCCATTTTAATCATAGAATACTATGTGGTAAGTATAGTTGTAAATTGCTTAAATGTAACATTTCTTAGATTATACCAATACTAACAACAAAACCGTTTTGTAGTATCTTTCTACATTGAACTACATTATTAGTAACAGGGAAAGCCTTTTTTGATTTTTCTCCTCCTCTAATTACGATTTCTCAAAAAAGTTACTGATACCGGCTCACAAATACAAATTACCACAATACTGTAACTAAACACTAGAAAATATGATAACATCAGTGACTATAAACAACAGCAACAATGAAAACAAGAGTACCTGCTTGTAGAGTGTGTAGAAGAAACCACATGACTCAAAGCATCATTGCAATTGGATCATAATGACAGCACAAAGTAAATCAGCATAGAGATTTAGCCTTATACTGATAAGCTAGACTTACAAAAAATGTTTTTGTTGTCGTAACTACAAGGATATTTTTATTTAAAAAAATAGTAACTTTCTGCTAAAACACTGCACAAAAATTTTAGATAGTTATGTTGGTGTCACTCCCTCTGACAGTGTCACCTGGTGTGGTTCGTGCCCCTCCCCCCCACACCCCTTTAGTGACACCACTGGGAAAGGGCAGGGAGGGGATCCTAGAGCAGCAGGCAGACATGACAGGGAAAGCCAAGGAAGCAAAGATACAAAGGAGACAGGTCTACTGCGAGGACAGAAGCCAAAGCTGCTATGGTCTAGAAGAAACATTAGGACTGAGTGAGGCATCAGGGCCTTGTTGTTGTTGTTGTTTGCCGTCAAGTCAGCCCCGACTCATAGCGACCCCTCCTTGGGTTTCTGAGGCAGTATCACTATGGAAGTAGGATTGCCCAACCTTCCTTCCGAGGAGTGGCTGGTGGGTTTGAACCGCCAGCCTTCTGGTGAGCAGTCGAGTGCCTTAGGCACTATGCTACCAGAGCTCCTACCAGGGCCTTAGAGGAACTCATTAGTCCCCAGAAGAGGGAAGGAGCCAGTGGAAGGGCCAGGCCTGCTTTGGGAAGGAACACAGAAAACACAGACTCCCTGGGCTACCTACAATTTGCATACACCCTAAGGGGAGCACTGGTGGTGTAGTGGTTAAAGCATTTGGCTGCTAATCAAAAGGTTTGTGGTTTGAACTCACCAGCAACTCCATAGGACAAAGATGCAGTCTGCTTGCATGAAAATTTACAGCCTTGGAAACCAAGTTCTACTCTGCCCTAAAGGGTGGCTATGAGTTGGAATCCACTTGATGGCAGTGGGCTTATAGAGAAGTAGATGAACCGTTTTACTCTCAAACTGAAATTTGAGAATATAGGATTATCCCTTTTTTTCTATCTGCTTATTCGACCTGCCAGGCCAAGAGCTAGGACTCAAATATTGCTTTATTGTTTCCTTGTAGTTCTGATAAAAATATAGGGGTAAAGGCTGTATTTTTTTTTTTTTTTTTCTGTGAACGTTGTTGTTGTTAGGTGCTGGTGAGTCTGTGAACATTAACTGACTGCAATTATTTCTTCAATCAGTGTGTTGTTCGTATGTGGCTTCTCCGACCCCCAGAGGGCTACAGGACACTGAGAAAGGATTATTTCAGAAGTATCTAAGGAGCCTAGGTGGTGCAACGGTTAAGTGCTCGGCTGCTAATTGAAAGGTTGGCAGTTCAAACCCACCCAGCAGCTCTATGGAAGAAAGACCTGGCAATCTGCTTCCATGAAAATTACAGCCTAGAAAACCCAATAGGGGAATGTTATTCTGACACATGAAGGGGCTAGGGGTCAAATATCAACTCAAGGGCACCTAACAACAACAACAGGTATCTGGCCAAAGCCTTCTATGGGCAGACAGTAACAGTCTCTGTATATCTTGTTGGTGCCCAAAAGCTGGACCTTATTTACTTTCTCTTTCAAATATATAACCCCAATGATACGCCATTCTCTTGCCCCATAAATTAATTTTAAAGTGCTTACACCAAAAACCAGCTCTAAGCAATAGGTTTTCAAACTCATAACCTCAAATAGATTGAACACACTTATGTTCCCATTAAATAATATCTGATTTTAAAAAACAACAACTTGTATTAACCAATGAGTGTGTTAGCTTGAACTGGTAGGTGGTACAAAAATAAAAATAAAAAAAATAAAATAAAAAAAAAACAGTTGACTAGTATTTTGTCCTATGCAAATATCCAAAGCAGTAATTTAGGGTTACAAGTTTTGTTTTTCCAAGAGAGCTAGTATTCTATTTAGGTAGAAAAGGCATCATATGACATGAGTGGGAATTGATTGGTGAATTATCAGCACAACTGCTTATAAATACTTGCTTCTGTAAGAACAAACATGGAATAAACCAAAACCAAACTCATTGCTGTCGAGTCAATTCCAACTCATAGCAACCCTGTAGGAAAGAGCAGAACTGCTCCATAGGATTTCCAAGACTGTAAATTTTCATGGGAGCAGACTACCACATCTTTCTGTGGAGTAGACAGAAGAAAGGTAGTCAAATAAAGCACCTACAAGTGGCTCAGCAATTGTTGCTAACTTAATAATCATTTTTCCATTCAAACACCATAGAAACCTAAAGTTGATATTTTATAGGTGGAAAAAAAAAAAAAAAAGAAGGCTCAGAAAGGTTGAGTGACTTACCCAAGGTCACACAGCTGTAAAAATCTGTGCACAAGGTTAGAACTCTGGTTAAGAGTAAATTCACTAAAAAGTCTATATATCAACAGACTAGCAGAAGCTACCTTAAAATAATAGTGTTTCTGGTGATCTTTATTTTCTTTTTTATCTTATTTGTGTTATCTTTTTCTAAAGTAGACATATATTTTGTTGGGGAGTTTGTCAAGCTTTGAAAAAGAGAATACAGTATTGGAGTGTATTTTGTCGTTAGTTGCTGCCAAGTCAGCCCCCAAGAATCACAAAGATCCCATGTATAAGAGAATGAAACTCGGCCCAGTCCTGCACTGTCTCCACAATCGACTGTGGGTCAGACTACTGTGATCCACAGGGTTTTCACTGACTGATTTTTGGGAAGTACATCACCAGGCCTTTCTTCCTAGTCCATCTTGGTGTGGAAGCTCTACTGAAAACTGCCTAGCATCATAACAACACACAAGCCTCTACTTAAAGATGGATGGTGGCTGCACACAAGGTACACTGGCCGAGACCTGAACTCGAGTCTCCCCCATGGAAGGTGAAAATGATTTTTTTTCCCAAAGTCTTTCTTAATTGTGTAAATGTGTATAGACTGCCAAATTAAATTTAAAAAGTTATTAGAAAAAAGTTACAGAAGTTTGCTAATCAATCTTTACTTCTTTGTAGAGGGCTGGTGAGCAGTGCAGACACTACTGACCAGGTATACAGAAGACAGAGGGTGGGGATGACTGTGAACCAGCTTGATCCTCTGTCACTAACAGCCCCTCACAATTCAGCGCCTCCCACAAACTGGATAAGCATGCTCTCTGGGTCTTTATAAAAGGCCTTGATTAAAATGTTGAACTCGAGTGAAGAAGAGATACCAGTGATTTGCACAGACCTACTCATAAGCCCTGCTGAGGTCCTGCAAGGGGCTGCAGAGTCCAAGTCTTCTTTGGTTATCAATGGAGAATGAACTCC